TAGTGAGTACAGCACGAATCTACACCCTTAATTTCACAAGCGAATTCCAACCTCAAATCTTAATCGCACCTGACTACCGCCGATAATAAATCGAACGAACCAGCTTGGCCAAACACAAAGACATATTCGTTATTCAATGCTGACACGCATCATGTCATCAATCTCAACGTTCGTGACAATGAGCTGCTTATTCAAATTTTAGCATCTCGCTCCCGGCCGCGTATTCGCCAATTCCGACGGACAATAACGGTTTGTGGCGATTCTGACATGACCTCACAATTAGATCCTAATATGCTACTAGGGTGTCTGGACCAATAAGTTCAAAGTAATTTAAGTTTTCCAATTCCAATTGAGAGTGCATTTTATGGCAACCGAAAATGTTTGGCAGTCGTCACGGCACGGCAACCGGGCAGAGGGGGGGGGGGCAAGGATTGGGATTGAGCAGACTTTTCAACAACACTCACATTCTGGAGTTTCTCTGCGCTTCCGCTTCTCAGTGTGGTCACAAGCGTCGGCTGCTGTCCTCGGTTCTGATCACTCGAACTGAAGAGGCTTCTCGCGGGTGACCCCGGACTGACGGCGGCTCCCAGATGGCGTCTCCGGCTCCAGCTGTGGACTGTGACTCTCGGCTGCTCGACTGTGATTCCCCCTCTGGTTGGGTGGCGCACCCTTTTATAGTTGGGGGGAGGGGTGACTGCCACGCCCTTGCGACGTCATCTTCCTCTGCCTTCTTCTGGTGGGTGGGGCCGTAAGATGGCGCCCTCTGTCCTGTTTAGTCACCTTGCTCCTCTGTGCCTGCAATTTTTGGCCGTCGAATCGTCTTCGTGTTGAGTGCTTTATCATTTTAGTAATCGCTGGCATAAAACAATCCCCGAAAGGTTTGTGATTTTCGAGTTTTAATTTTGATTCTTCAATTTCATTTTATTCAAACTTTTGTTTCCTTCCGTTTCGTCTGCCGCCAACGCCCCTGTGACGTCACTCTTGCTCCGCCCACCGTACCGGGGCGTGGCCGTAAGTCAGCGCCTTCTTCCTCTGCGGAGATCTCTGGAACTACCTCATGAGGCCATTGTGAGGTCGGTCACCCGGTTGTTTTGCCAGGTTCACTCACCCTGGGTTGCTGTGCCCGACAAAGGAGGCTGTGTGCTCCAGCCGGCATCCATCCTTGACACTGCTCCATGATCTGTTGACATATCTTACTGATCCAGCGTTATTTGAGGAGGCTCGGATCGCTCATCCTGCGGTAGCTGTCTCCATAGGCGAGCGTTGTAATGAGAGTTTAACGGCTGCCCATTGCGAAGACCTCTGGAACTACAGCGTTTTTGCTTGCCGTAGGATCTTTCTGGTTGTGCCATTCCCACCGTGGGACTCAGCGCGGCGCAGCTGTTGTGGTACCTGACAGAGTACGTGACAAGTGACAGAGTACCTTAACGTGCTCGCTCGCCGCCGCCGCCGGCCGCAGTCCTGACGTAGCTTGTTGACTCAGCTGTGCCTCAGCGGTTCGTACTGATGTGACCGGCATCGTCTTCTCGCAGACGTGTCTACTGCGGGCTATTCTCACGGACAGTGCTCGTTGAGGGAGTTGGGGAAAAGTGCTGAATGGGGATGGCGGGCCTGGTGACTGGGGGGGGGGGGGTTAGTGAATAATGAGAGGGGAGGAGAGCGCAGCAGCAGCGCTCCGCTCAGCTGTGCGTCACCCGGTAGCAGCGACGGGTGTGTGAATGGAGGGCTAGGCCTGTGACCGGACTGCGAGGGGGGGGGGACTGCCGGACCGAGCCGTGCCGAAAAGATACTACGTTAAATGTTCAAGATGTAGCGTGCTACACCTGCCCATGAAAATATCAACACACATATTCGGTTGCAATTCGTACCTCACTATTATTATACACATCAATCCAAAGTTATCAGTTCTCTAGGTCCATGGTTCTTTAACAGTATAGCTGGCTAGTTATTACTGGTAGTATTTCCCTTTCTTCGGAGTGAAAGTGTTCTGGTGACTCTTAGTCGGCGCGGCACTGCTGCCAGTCGGGCCAGTACTTGGCCTTCATCCTCTCGTGGTACCCCACCAGCACGGCGTGATTCTCTCGCACGTAGCGCTCCGCCTCCGGGGCACAGCCGAGCAGCACCTGGGTCAGCTCAGCGAACACGGCCGCGTCGTACGTGCTGGGCGCGTCGGCCAGCAGGAACGGCTTGTCGCCCATCACGTCCTCCAGCGCGCGCAGCTCCCGGTAGAGGAAGAAGAGCGCCTCCTCTTCACTGTACTCACTCATGCCACGCACATACAGCTTCTTCTTGATGAGTGAGACGAAAAGCTTCTTAAAAACGCACTCAGATCTGTACACCTTGAGAAAACAGTCTATGGAGTTCCCCATTTGTTCTAAGATTCGTCGTTTCCTTCCAACTGCCAGAGTCGTGTGTTCATCCAGCATGACCTGGACAGCACGTCCTAGTCCATGCTGAGCCGGCGTCAGCTGCTCGGGGATGGGGTCGTTGAAGTGCTTCGTCAGGTACTCCATGATGAGCTCCGAGTCGGACAGCTCCTCCCCGTTGATGGTGATCCAGGGACACTTTCCGCGCACGCCCTGCGGCTCCTCCGTGTCGACCACGTACTGGATCTTGGCCATGCGCAGGAACGTCTCCAGCTTGAGCGCGAACGGCGACAGGTTGGGCATGTTGGTGCCACGCTCAAACTGGTGCAGCACCACCACGTCCTTGCCGGCCTGGCTCCAGCGCTGGCGGCGCTGGTGACGCCGGCGTCTGGCCCACAGTTTGAGTCCGACGCCGAGCAGGGCGGCGGCCAGCAGCGTCTTGGCCAGCCGTCGGCCGGCGGTGGTGTTGGCCCAGCGGCTCAGCTCGGTCCAGACGGCGCCGCCGCCGGCCCGCTCAACACACGCCATGGTCCGGTGTGGCCTCTGGTCGGGTGACGGACTGATGGGAGCGGAGCCGACCGTTCGGGAGCGCGCCGCACCGCGCTCGCACACCGTCCGAGACACACTCGCCGCCTACCGCCGCCGGCAAATGCATATCGCTCGTTTTGCAGCGTCATGTTGGGCACGGCAGTAGGGTGCGAGCGTTTCGTGACACATATTGCATCATGAACCGGCTACGGCCAAGGTCACCAGGCTGCCTGCTGCATCTGGTTTAAGCGCTGGTGCATCGCAGCAGGAACAGGCGACGACACGTGACACCGAGGGGCGGGGCTCGCTCACACTGATATTTTCCCGACAAATCACAGATAAACTCGCTGAACTCGTTCGTTTATGATGTATAAACTTATCATGACTCGTACGTAGCCTAAAATTAACCCTCGCCGGACTTATTGGTTTTCTACATACGAGTACGCGCCGGCCGAGGGGGGGGGGGCGGGTACGATCCCCCCCCTCGCCGTTTCGCCCCTGGTGGAGCTAGCGCGTCGCGGAAAAAACGAGCGTGTGCGCCGTTACAAGACGCAGAGATTGGTACCCGATTTTAAGGTCCTAGGTCAACCGGTGACCTCTGAGGTCAGGTCAAGTGCCCCAAGGTACGGTTCAGTTTTTGGTAAATAACTTCGCAAAAAACGGCCGCAGAGCCGCGATTTTGGCAGCATCGTGCTCGCCTCGCTCAGGCGCGTCGAATGATACACTTTTTGTCCGGGTCAGGTCAACTTGGGGTGTTGACCTCAGGTCAAGGTCAGGTCAGCACCCCCAGGTCACGAAGTTGGTCGAAAGAGGTCATGTCGCATATCATTCGATTCGGTAGGTCGTCCTGAGTCCATTGGTGGCTTTCCCGACTCGTTAGCTCAATTTGATCAAGAGTTATTGACGAAAAACTAATATGACCTTGATGACGTCATAAATGACGTCACGCAAGGTCAACATTGCAAAAGTGACGCATCTAACCCTGCAAGGAGTGCATCAAATCACGATTCTGTGTGCTTGAGATAGTTGGAGATCGTTCCTGGCGATCGTTCCTTCCAATAGCAGTTTTCATTTTTCCCCATTGACTTATAATGGTGAGGTCACGAAAATGACCTGACCTCATATGACCTTTAGGAAAAATCCGAGATATACAAGTTGTGGGACTCATAATGGATACTAGATCCTGCAAGTTTCATTTCCCTGTGACATCTCCTCTGGCAGTGAGCTGAGGGCGTTGCGAACTTGCGACATCTGAAGACCGTGCAGAGGTTCACTTATGACGTCATAGGTCAGTGGCCTGACCTGACCCAAAAATGCGGTTGGTGCCAAAAGATCCGGCTTGAATCAAAGGTCAGGTATGCCAAGTTTCAGCTCTCTATCGCCAGCGTTTTATTTATCTTATTTATTTATTTATTTATACGTACAACGGCATCCACACAATTCGTGGCTTTTCAGCCGAGGTGAATATGAGATTAATGAACTAGACACTATGGCAAGGAGAAGGATAAGGATAAGGAGGATTGAAGGATGTGGGATACAGATCTGTGAATAGCGTGTTCGCAGCTATCGCGAATAAACCCTCGGGGGGGGGGGCGGCACCCCCCCCCCTCGGCCGGCGAGGGTTAAGGCTCTGGTCAAAAAGTAATATATAAAATAATAAAGAGATTGTTATCAAGGGTGAACAGTTGTACAGCCCACCGCTAAAGTAATGTAGGGTTTTACCAATATCAACGGTTGGCTTTGACTGGCGATTGTTTAATGCGGAGTGATCGAAAAGAAGATGTCAATAGCGTAAGTTGCAGCTGCAAGAGTGACGATACATATAAGCTACATTCAAAGTTTCATTGTAGTCTGGCTAATCGTTCCTAAGCTTCAGAAGCAGAACATACCCATGACTGAAACCCCACATTACTTCTGCTGTGGACTGTACTTTTATATTGCAACATTTAGCACAATAGGGCATAAATGAACCCTCAGGTCTGAAAGGGCCTGCTGGAACATCACAATACACGTTAAAGCAGTCTGCATAGAAGACAGGCATCAGCATGCATTTAGTTCGTGCCTGCCCATGAAAATATCAACACACATATTCGGTTGCAATTCGTACCTCACTATTATTATACACATCAATCCAAAGTTATCAGTTCTCTAGGTCCATGGTTCTTTAACAGTATAGCTGGCTAGTTATTACTGGTAGTATTTCCCTTTCTTCGGAGTGAAAGTGTTCTGGTGACTCTTAGTCGGCGCGGCACTGCTGCCAGTCGGGCCAGTACTTGGCCTTCATCCTCTCGTGGTACCCCACCAGCACGGCGTGATTCTCTCGCACGTAGCGCTCCGCCTCCGGGGCACAGCCGAGCAGCACCTGGGTCAGCTCAGCGAACACGGCCGCGTCGTACGTGCTGGGCGCGTCGGCCAGCAGGAACGGCTTGTCGCCCATCACGTCCTCCAGCGCGCGCAGCTCCCGGTAGAGGAAGAAGAGCGCCTCCTCTTCACTGTACTCACTCATGCCACGCACATACAGCTTCTTCTTGATGAGTGAGACGAAAAGCTTCTTAAAAACGCACTCTGATCTGTACACCTTGAGAAAACAGTCTATGGAGTTCCCCATTTGTTCTAAGATTCGTCGTTTCCTTCCAACTGCCAGAGTCGTGTGTTCATCCAGCATGACCTGGACAGCACGTCCTAGTCCATGCTGAGCCGGCGTCAGCTGCTCGGGGATGGGGTCGTTGAAGTGCTTCGTCAGGTACTCCATGATGAGCTCCGAGTCGGACAGCTCCTGCCCGTTGATGGTGATCCAGGGACACTTTCCGCGCACGCCCTGCGGCTCCTCCGTGTCGACCACGTACTGGATCTTGGCCATGCGCAGGAACGTCTCCAGCTTGAGCGCGAACGGCGACAGGTTGGGCATGTTGGTGCCACGCTCAAACTGGTGCAGCACCACCACGTCCTTGCCGGCCTGGCTCCAGCGCTGGCGGCGCTGGTGACGCCGGCGTCTGGCCCACAGTTTGAGTCCGACGCCGAGCAGGGCGGCGGCCAGCAGCGTCTTGGCCAGCCGTCGGCCGGCGGTGGTGTTGGCCCAGCCGCTCAGCTCGGTCCAGACGGCGCCGCCGCCGGCCCGCTCAACACACGCCATGGTCCGGTGTGGCCTCTGGTCGGGTGACGGACTGATGGGAGCGGAGCCGACCGTTTGGGAGCGCGCCGCACCGCGCTCGCACACCGTCCGAGACACACTCGCCGCCTACCGCCGCCGGCAAATGCATATCGCTCGTATTGCAGCGTCATGTTCGGCACGGCAGTAGGGCGCGAGCGTTTCGTGACACATATTGCATCATGAACCGGCTACGGCCAAGGTCACCAGGCTGCCCGCTGCATCTTGTTGAGCGTTGAAGCATCGCAGCAGGAACAGGTGACGACACGTGACACCGAGGGGCGGGGCTCGCTCACACTGATATTTTCCCGACAAATCACAGATAAATTCGCTGAACTCGTTCGTTTATGATGTATAGCCTTATCATGACTCGTACGTATCCTAAAATTGAGGCTCTGGTCTAAAAGTAATATATAAAATAATAAAAAGATAGTTATCAAGGGTGAACAGTTGTACTTTTATATTGCAACATTTAGCACAATAAGGCATAAATGCATCCTCAGGTCTGAAAGAGCCTGCTGGAACATCACAATACACGTTAAAACCGTCTGCATAGAAGACTGGCATCAGCATGTATTCAGTTCGTGCCTGCCCATGAAAATAGCCGTTTTCACGACGGCCATCCGGTACACATTTGGTGCACATCTGGCACAGATTAGGTGCAGATTTGGTCAAATCAGGTTCAGTGTGTCCCATAGCAGCTATCAGCTAGGGTTGCACTAATTGCTTATATGCCTGCTTTGTCATATTATCAGAGAGCATCATCGATTAAAACACTGAAATAAATTCATAAAATGAAGATATTTGCTGTAAAAGAAATTAGGTGCAGATTTGGTCAAATCAGGTGCATTCGCCGGATAGCCCGTCGTGAAAACGGCTAATATCAACACACGCATTCGGTTGTAATTCGTACCTTACCATTATACACATCGATCCAAAGTTATTATTTCTCTAGGTCCATGGTTCTTTAACAGTATAGCTGGCTAGTTATTACTGCAAGTATTTCCCTTTCTTCGAAGTGCAAGTGTTCTGGTGACTCTTAGTCGGCGCGGCACTGCTGCCAGTCGGGCCAGTACTTGGCCTTCATCCTCTCGTGATACCGCACCAGCACGGCGTGATTCTCTCGCACGTAGCGCTCCACCTCCGGGGCACAGCCGAGCAGCACCTGGGTCAGCTGGGCGAACACGGCCGCGTCGTACGTGCTGGGCGCGTCGGCCAGCAGGAACGGCTTGTCGCCCATCACGTCCTCCAGCGCGCGCAGCTCCCGGTAGAGGAAAAAGAAAGCCTCCTTCTCGCTGAAACGGCCGATGCCAATGACATGCAGAATCTTCTTCAGTGTAGAAATAAACAATGGTTTTATGACGCGGAAGTAGTTTTGATATGTTTTAGAATAGCAATCGATGATGTACGACATGTCGTCGATTACGTATCGCTTGTAGCCAACGGCCGTGATGGCATGCTCATCCAGCATGACCTGGACAGCACGTCCTACGCCATGCTGAGCCGGTGTCAGCTGCTCGGGGATGGGTCTGTTGAAGTGTTTCGTCAGGTAGTCCATGATGAGCTCCGAGTCAGACAGCTCCTCCCCGTTGATGGTGATCCAGGGACACTTTCCGCGCACGCCCTGCGGCTCCTCCGTGTCGACCACATACTGGATGTTGGCCATGCGCAGGAACGTCTCCAGCTTGAGCACGAACGGCCAGGGGCGGATCCAGGAAAACTCCAAGGGGAGGGTCATGAATCGAAGTGGTGCCCCTACCTATACCCAAAATTAAAAACTCAACGGATTTCGTCCACTTCATTTTGGTGGTGCCCCCATTTTCAGTTTTTTTTTTTATTTTTTATTTTTAGTCAGTATCTTACCTCTTAGCCACAACCACATTTACCAATTGTAAGCAAGTATATATGAATGTGCTATGTGTATATATGTTGTGGACGCTGAGTAATGAGTACTTACCAGGAACGTTATCAGGTAAGCAAATCGTTGTCAGTCCGACGAACTTGACCCTGGCGTCTAAAGGGTCTGTCCTTGACACATCAGGCTTGTCAGGGGCACCAAAGTCCTTCCAGGGACACCACAAACCTGTCAGGGGCACCTACAGCCTTGTAGGGGCGCCACAGGCCCGCCAGGGGCACCACAGGCCTGCCAGGAAGCAGGGGCACCACAGGTCTAGCAAGTATACACGACAGGCCTGCCAGGGGCACCACAGACCTGCCAGGGGCACCAGAGGCCTGCCAGGAGCACCACCGACCTCGCAGGGGTAACTTGGGCCTGTCAGGGCCCAGGGGCACCACGGGCCTGTCGAGAGGCACTTCAGGCTTTTCAGGGGCACCATAGTCCTCTCAGGGCGCAGGGGTAGCAGGGGCACCAGAGGCCTGCCAGGGGCACTACAGGCCTAGCAAGGGCACCACTGGTCTATCAGGGGCACCACGAGCCTGTCATAGCCAGGCATCTCAGGCTTGTCAAGGCCCAGGGGCACCACAGGTCTGTGAGGGGCACCAGCGACCTAGCAGGGGCACCAGTCAACACAGGTCTGCCAGGGGCGCCACAGACCTGCCAGGGGCACCACAGACCTGCCAGGGGCACCAGAGGCCTGCCAGGGGCACCACCGGCCTCGCAGGGGCACCTTGGGCCTGTCAGGGGCACGACGGGCCTGCCGAGGGGCACTTCAGACTTTTCAGGGGCACCAGTCCTCTCCGGGCGCAGGGGCACCAGAGGCCTGCCAGGGGCACCAGCGGCCTAGCAAGGGCACCAGAGGCCTGCCAGGGGCACCACAGGCCTAACAAGGGCACCACGGGCCTGTCAGGGGCACCTCAAGCTTGTCAGGGCCCAGGGACACCACAGTCCTTCCAAGGGCACCGCAAGCCTGTCAGGGGCACCAGAGGCCTGCCAGGGGCACCACAGGCCTAGCAAGGGCACCTCTGGCCTGTCAGGTGCACCTCAGGCTTGTCAGGGCCCAGGGGCACCACAGTCCTTCCAGGGGCATTACAAGCCTGTCAGGGGCACCAGAGGCCTAGCAAGGGCACCACAGGCCTGCCATGGACACCACAGGCCTGCCAGGGGCACCACCGGCCTTGCAGGGGCGCCTCAGGCCTGTCAGGGGCACCACGTGCCTGCCGGGGACACTTCAGGCTTGTCAGGGGCGTTACAGTCCTGTCAGGGCCCAGGGGCACCAGGCCCGTGGTGTCCCTGCTAGGCCTGTGGTGCCCCTGGCGGTCCTGTGGTGCCCCTGTCAGGACTGTCATACCCCTGATAGGCCGGTGGTGCCCCTGGAAGGTCTTTGGGCCCCCGGGCCTCAAGGGGGGGCCATGACCCATGTGACACCCCCCCCCCCTTGGATCCGCCCCTGCGAACGGCGACAGGTTGGGCATGTTGGTGCCGCGCTCGAACTGGTGCAGCACCACCACGTCCTTGCCGGCCTGGCTCCAGCGCTGGCGACGCTGGTGACGCCGGCGTCTGGCCCACAGTTTGAGTCCGACGCCGAGCAGGGCGGCGGTCAGCAGCGTCTTGGCCAGCCGTCGGCCGGCGGTGGTGCTGGCCCAGCGGCTCAGCTCGGTCCAGACGGCGCCGCCGCCGGCCCGCTCAACACACGCCATGGTCCGTTGGGGCCTCTGGTCGGGTGACGGGCTGATGGGAGCGGAACCGATCGTTTGGGAGAGCTCCGCACCGCACCCGCACACCGTCCGAGACACACTGTACCGCACCGTCCACATATTTACACAGTCATATCGGCCCTGGTGACGTCATAGCCGCAATGTTAGGGCGGATGCGCCAACTGCAATCATTGGGTCCAATCGCGCGAACTGTCGCCGTAGTCGAACACTAGACACAACCCGCCGGACCTGGGCAAGTGCCTCGCTCGTGCCAATACGATTCCATTGACTTGCACCGCTAAAGCGGCCTTTTGACGTGCTCGTATTCAAGAGCTCTATTCTTACCTACATACTCTGAGTCTGAACATGGTTTGTAAAGCTCAAATGCGTCACGCGCGAAGTCAAAAAGGCGAAAATGTAACATGGGCTACTATGTAAAAGCATGAAGCAGAATATAAAATATAATCATGATACCAGGTGTTTGAGATATTAGATCAAGCGTTTACAATGTACCCGTCCCTGACTACAAATGGTGAGGTCACGTAATCGATCTGATAATGGTATACCTAAGTCTTATCAAAATAAAAATCAAAATAAACAAGTTATAAGGACATAGGAAATTGTTGCTTCCCAAAGTTTCATATCACTGTGAAAAATCCCTGCCGCTGAATGTCGCGAACCTGCCACGTTTTGGGGCCGTTGAGAAATTTACCTGTCATAGGTCAGTGCAATGCTCTGACTTGAAAACACAGTTGACGCTGAAAGATCCCGCTCGAGGAAGAAAGCAGGCATGCCATATTTCACCCTTGTATTTGAAACACGTTACGAGCCATCGCAAAAAAAGCATCAAGGGGTAGCACCAAACACCCTCCCCCATTTCGGCCGAGGGGTATAAGAAGCTATTTCATTTCTGTCAGAAATCGTTAAGTTGGGGGCGATCAGCTCCCTCCACCGACCAATCTCCCCACTCTATTCCCATGCCCCTTCAGAAGCCCCCTCCCCGTCCCCCTCTACGGATCATTGGTTGGGATGACCTTCAGTGACGCCGAGTGGTCGTCCGCCGCCGCAGCTGCTTTATGGCAGAGCTGGCGGTCAGCGCATGCGCCGTAACATTCCGGCTATGACGTCACCAGGGCTGAGGTGACTGTGTAAATATGTGGACGGTGCGGTACAGTGTGTCTCGGACGGTGTGCGGGTGCGGTGCGGAGCTCTCCCAAACGATCGGTTCCGCTCCCATCAGCCCGTCACCCGGTCAGAGGCCTCAACGGACCATGGCGTGTGTTGAGCGGGCCGGCGGCGGCGCCGTCTGGACCGAGCTGAGCCGCTGGGCCAACACCACCGCCGGCCGACGGCTGGCCAAGACGCTGCTGGCCGCCGCCCTGTTCGGAGTCGGAGTCAAACTGTGGGCCAGACGCCGGCGTGACCAGCGCCGCCAGCGCTGGAGCCAGGCCGGCAAGGACGTGGTGGTGTTGCACCAGTTCGAGCGCGGCACCAACATGCCCAACCTGTCGCCGTTCGCGCTCAAGCTGGAGACGTTCCTGCGCATGGCCAAGATCCAGTACGTGGTCGACACGGAGGAGCCGCAGGGCGTGCGCGGAAAGTGTCCCTGGATCACCATCAACGGGGAGGAGCTGTTCGACTCGGAGCTCATCATGGACTACCTGACGAAGCACTTCAACAACCCCATCCCTGAGCAGCTGACACCGGCTCAGCATGGCGTAGGACGTGCTGTCCAGGTCATGCTGGATGAACATGCCATCACGGTCGTTGGCTACAAGCGATACGTCATCGACGACATGTCTTACATCACCGATTGCTTTTCTAAAACATATCGGAATTACATCCGTGTCCTGAGGCCATTGATCATTTCTACAGTGAAGAAGATCCTGCATGTCATGGGCATCGGACGTTTCAGCGAGAAGGAGGCGTTCTTTTTCCTCTACCGGGAGCTGCGCGCGCTGGAGGACGTGATGGGCGACAAGCCGTTCCTGCTGGCCGACGCGCCCAGCACGTACGACGCGGCCGTGTTCGCCGAGCTGACCCAGGTGCTGCTCGGCTGTGCCCCGGAGGTGGAGCGCTACGTGCGAGAGAATCACGGCGTGCTGGTGGGGTATCACGAGAGGATGAAGGCCAAGTACTGGCCCGACTGGCAGCAGTGCCGCGCCGAGTAGGAACAGTGGTGTTTTAAGTTGGCACTGGTCACTGAAGCTATCGCTCTAGCCTGCTAACCAGTGATGTTCCGAACAGCTAAGTCACACGAGATGTTCAATGCATATGTCGACTGACAACAAGCTTTGTTGTAGAACGCTGTTATTCAAGAAAACATCATGCAAATGATAACATTATTTGCCCGGGCGGGGTGGCATCATTGATGGTGATAAAAATCCCATTAGTATACAATCGGGGCATAGCATACGAGTGCGAGTGTAAACCTTAGTTTAGTGACTGCATCAGCCATCAATCGAAGCAATGAGCTTCTATGGTTTATTCTGAACGACCCCGGCGAAAGTTTGAAGTTCATCCAAGAAACTGGCACAAGAGCCGGCTGCATCTTTATGATCGCGAGTCTTGGCGAGGCCATTGGCAAAGTCCGCCCTTTATCGCACATTTACTCCATTTCGCTTAGAGCTACACGCACTTTGAACCATCGTTCAACAAAATGCACCGTGAAACAAAACGGTTACAGCTTGGCTCTGCTGATCGCAGGGAGGCAAAATTGAAGATATGATAGCATCAGGAAAATGCAAAGCATGATAGTATATTTACAGATCAGGCTTTTAGAATATGAATAGGGGTTGCTGTCTAATTAACATAAGTCCGAATAACAGTTTGTCACTTAGAAAGAAAACAGTGAGGAGGCATAATTTTTCCTGTACCGGGAGCTGCGCGCGCTGCAGGGTGTGGTCAGCGACAAGCCGTTCCTGCTGGCCGACGGGCAAATTTTTCACTGTAGATATTATAAAAAAAGCTATCGCTTCTTCTCCTCCAAGGTCCAGATTTCTACAACACAAAGTTGGGTGTGAACATGTGATTTATGTGATTGTAAGTTAGAAATAGAATGCATAGTTTTGCGCATTGCGGCACTCACAGAAATCCTTAAAAACATGGTTTCAAATTTGTGAATTGTGGAAGCCACTCGGATCATAGACCCATGTTCTTGGTTTGTCGTTCGATCCTGTGAGATCATAGATCCAGGATATACTTTTCACGCGGAATCCGGTGGGATCATAGATCATAACTTGCAGTTTGCTTCGAGATTCACTGAGATCATAGATCCAATTATTCAGATCCATGTGCATTGCACATGTCTGATTTGAAGTCAAGACAGGTGGTTCAGTGAGGCTCATATGAACGGTTCCAGGACTGATGACCCTGTCAACCGGTCTAGTGCAACTGTTACAGCTACACTGCCGCCTGCAGACTCCCCCGGTAAAAGTGACGGTGATGATCACCGTTTTGCTCTCACGCTACCACCAGACTCACTGTGAGCACTAAATTCAACCCAACAACGAATTCATCAGATCAAAATGTTGTTAATGAGCGTACTGACGAAGCCAGTGGCTGCGCTAAAAAGAGCTTGTCCTAAGCTGCGCAACCCTGGCCTAAGCTGCGACCCGATCGGTATAGTTTGAGTAATTGTCGGCAGAAGCTAAAAGCCAATAAGCTGGCTAACACACCTAACACGGTCCGTTCTACCCATAGGCTTCAACTGGCCACGGCTGGCTGCTCCTACCGACCGCAGGCCATCCGTCTGGAGTCTCATAAAATATCGAGCGCAGGAGCGACTCGAGCCTAGTCTCTAACCACCCGAAACCCAGCACGCCACCAACAGTGAGCCAAGTGATAGACAACGCGATCGATGATAATACGCCACATCACCAGGAGACTATTCCAATATACCACTGCCTCTATTTCTGGAAATGAATAATGTCCCGACACCATTGACTCAGAAATACGCTTCTCAACTCATCATACTCACACCAAATAAAACTCACACGCCTCACCCTCTCCTCACTCTCTCCTCATCCCTCACACTCTCTCCTTCCCTTCCCTGGGTTCTACTCACAAAGACCATTTTGCTCTCGAGGAACAGCGCAATGACGTGGTGCTGGTTGGTTACAGTGAGGTCGAGCGGGGTGTGGCCGGCCGCGTTCTCAACAAACAGGCAGCTGCCGTGCGCTACCAGCATCTCGACACACTTTTTCAGGCCGCACTGAGCCGCCAGATGGAGTGCCGTGTTGCCCTCCTGCGCGGAACGGATCAGATGGGTCAGTCCGGGAGGCATGACAAGTCGTGACATATCGATCACCACCTAGGTATCCAATTTCAACAAAGTAACAAAAGTCACTTTGTTACCATAAACTCACATCAATTACAACTAACCACAGCATGAAATTCACTCGTACCCGGAAGAACAAAATAGGTATGTAAGTAAAATGCTCCACATCAGTCTTCCACCATCGATGCATACATCGACGGTAACATCCGACAAACGAGCAGCGTCGTCAACACACAGTAGCTAGCTCTCAAATGCAGACCACTCAACTCCGATAACAGGTTACGGGTTGGGCCATCCCACTCCCCGATAACCCCCCTCCCACCCCCCACACACACACCTCGATAAGCGGATGAATAAGTGACCCCGCCGGTGCTCGCTCACCTTATCGACGGCGTCGACGTCCAGTTTCTCCGGCTGAGTCTGCCCGTCGGGTTGCGGTCCGCGCCACTGCAGCAGCATCAGAACGCAGGCGGCACGCCTCTCCTGAAAACGGACCATCAATGGTGAGAGAATGGCGAGTGAGGGAACACCAGAGAGGGAGCCACCAGCGAGGAACGGTGAGTGACGGAACGACTGGTGACGGCAAGCGAGGGAATCACCAATGGTGAGGAACGGCGGGTGAGGGAACAATCAATGGTGAGGGAACAGCGAGTGAGGGAACGGCGAGTGAGGGAACACCGGTGAGGGAACCATCAACGGTGAGGGAACGGCGGGCGAGGGAACGACTAGCGGCGAGTGAAGGAGCCACTAAATGGTGAGGAAAAACGGCAGGTGATGGAAATTTAGGCCAGGAAAGGAGGATGAGAGAACGATAGGCGATGGAACACACCGTTGAAGGACGGAAGGTGAGGGAACGGCGGATGAGGAAACGATAGGTGAGGAAATGACAGGTGAGAGGATACAAGTACGGAAAGGCATGGAGCTGTAGGCAGCGGACAGGTGTCATGTAAGTAATAGAATGACAAATCATATTTCATGATATCCTACCGCTGCTAGGTACTGCATACGACATACCAGGTTGCATAGGACATGGTGCTGCCCAACAATGCCGCTGAAATGGGTTCATGATCAACGATCGGACATCAATGAGCAAACACGCTCACTTTATCATTAAATGTCCAAAATTTTATCAAACATGGTTTTATCTAGAGCTGATGAAAAAGTACGGAACAAAGAGGTGACTTTAATTAAATATGAGTTTATGAGTTTCCATCGTTACCCTGGCAGATCCATCACCCTAAACCCACGCACGCGCCAAAGTCGAGCAAAATCACCCTGTTATGACGAGCAGCTGTCAGCACACAGCCGCCTCCCGGCCACTCTGCGTCTCGGCACCTATCGCAGGCCGTCCCGCCCCGCCCAGAGCGCCAGCAGAGGCCGTCCACCGTCCACTTTCCACTGTCCACAATCCATCGTCCACAATCCATCGTCCACTGTCCAATGTCCACCGTCCACAATCCACCGTCAACAGTCCACCGTCCACCACCCTCACCTGAGCAGACAGCGAGCGCTGGTGACCGCTGCGGCACGCGCAGTGCAGAGATGTCTCGTTGGCTCCGTTACGCTTGTTTGGGTTACCGCCTAGATCATTGAGAAACGTCCTGTAACAGGGAGATCGTAGCCCATTGGTGTCAATCGTTCTTAAAACTGAGCCCCTGTTGTTTGTAGGATAAGAGACAATCCAGAGAAACTAACGCGTCCGTCCGGACGGTGAATCTCTCCTGCTTTAGACACAGCGCAAATTCGAGGCGCAGCTCTCGCGCATACACAACAGGTGTATCTCGGCTTCAGTGCGAGTGTCGGTGACGAGCACAGAATGTGAGTACTGTCATGTGTCAGTGACAGAGTGGGTGACAGAGTGGATGACAGAGTGGGTGACAGTGTGAGTGACAGTGTGAGTGACAGAGTGAGTGTCGGGAGTGACAGAGTGAGTGACGAGTTTGAGTGACAGTGAGTGTCGGGAGCGACAGGTGACAGTGAGTGTCGGGAGCGACAGGTGACAGTGAGTGTCGGGAGCGACAGGTGTCACTTGTCAGTGAGGAATGTGAGTGACGAGTGAGTGACAGTGGGAGTGACGAGTGAGTGATGAGTGAGAGTGACAGGTGTAGGTGACGAGTGTGAGTGAACGAGTATAATGAGTGTATGAGTGACAGGTGACGTACGGCTCTCGCGAGATTAAGCGGTAGGTTTTGCACTTTTACATTTCCCGTTATATCTCAGAAACTAATCGATCTATATTCTACGATGAAGCCATTTTACACGATCATGACCGGCTTGTGAACCAACAAGTCGATCGCATCTTCAACACTTAAAAGCTTAAGACGACGAAGATATAACATGAAGTACACTAAATTTTCTAGGTGCAAAACCTACCGCTAAAACACGCGAGACCTGTACACGAGGTCGGGCGTCTCGTTACCTGAGCAGATGTTTCATGCTGTGGGTGGCCGCGTAGTGCAGTGCCGTGTTGAGGTTGTGTGACTCGCCATAGCTGATGTTGGGATCGAGGCTGCGGCGCAGGTCGGGCGAGCCCTGAAATATCTGAGAGGGACAATGTGCAGTCGGTTAGAATTGTGAAACATGCACGCTTCGTGAACGATTCGAATACCGCTGATACTACGCTGGATTACATTAGAACGAGACAACAATAAACCAAGCATACTAGGCTATAATATGTGCTAAAATTATCAGATATTCCATCAGGAAGACTTCGCTACCTAATGGGACAAGTTTAGTGATGTTACCAACAACAGGACGTGGCTGCCAGAGCAAGATCAATTGATGAAAAACAAAGAAACAACTCAATTAACATAGTTCTTATTCTTCCTGTTCTCATGAGTCATCTTTTGAAAAATGTTTAGATTCATATACAGACTTCTGTATATATCATGGTATACAGAGGTCCATGATCCACGCTACTGCTTGGGCCAAACTGCTGTCTGAGTGAGGCACTTGGGACCCAAAAGCTCTGTCAATTTCTTGGTGTGGTCTATGTTTTCAGCACATTCAAGGAATATTCCAATGACATGATTAAACTCAAAGAAATTGCCCCATTACAGTTAGTCATTGAAGTATATAGCAAACATGACTCACCTGCATTGCAGCAAACTCATCACCATGCTGGAGATACTTCTTGAACTTTGAAGATGCACTCCCCATTGTTCCAATCTTTATTCAAAAACTTTTCAGAGGTCAGGATCCATTTTCATACAACTGGAATGAAAAATGAAGTTGAATTTAAATGTCATCTAGCAGCACCCTGAGAGCCTTATATATCAGTAGCCACTGGACCAATTCATTTGTGGCATTTTAAGCAGGGTAGCTTCAGTCCTTCCACCAAGTAATGGACTACCTATTCCTCATGCATGTTGGTGACCCCCATTGTGGACACCATGAGGAAAATAAAGAGGTGCCAATTTTGTAGCAATTACAATAAGTTTACAATTACTGGGCAGCTTAAGCTGAAACCTGGCATATTTGTAGGCACCCACAGAGCAATACATTTCCATGTGTCACGACTGGGATGCTGCCAAGCATGTGCCCAGATAAGGGTCATTTCCTGTGATTCCACATCTCAAGAATGACTGGGCTGATTGTTGATTGATTGATTGATTAATTGATTGATTGAAGTGTGACCAAATGTCTGGGACATTCAGGTCATCAAAAGGCGGTCAAGCTGATACTACCACTACCTTTGTGGAAACTATGTCCAATAAAATATTAATGAAATGTGCGACAGTTCCCTAGTGCAAACATTTCACTGATGCAGCATGTCCTTGCATTTTCGCAATGACAAACATCAATTGAGATCAATTGGACCTTTCACCCATTCAACTCTAGCACCGGCTTCATGAAAAGATGTAAAAATGTTATCAGAGGCCAGTTTTAAAAATAAAAAATAGGCGCCTGCTGGAATTTGTGTCTACAAACCATTTTTCCCATATGGAATTGGAGCGTCAACACAATCTTCTTACGATGGGGCTGTGGGCACGTCAGCGGATGCCGGATAGGGCTTCATCGTTTACGCTCCATATGTGAAACTGTCTTTGGACAAAAAAAAAAAATCTGCCAGGTGGTGTGGTTACTTTTCTGTTGGTAAAACTGGCCTCAGAACAGATCAGAAGTCAGAACTCTTAAGCGCCACTGTGGCCTTCAGATCATCATTGCCAGTAAGATATGATATCAAGGCAACTTTTCTATGACCTTGTTGCTGGTTTTTACTCGATTGGAACAAAGCTGAGGCCACATGTATCAATTGCAATCACCCATGGGATCGACCACAAAGAACGAAGTTGTCTGTCAGTTGAACTGGGAATTGGGATAAAGATTTTGAGTAGGTAGTTAAGAGCCATATTGCGAGCGTTATCTTGCAAGCAAGGGAAAGGTGGACATACCTAGCAGCAGAGCCTGTAACCAACACCAACGTCTATTATTTCTATGGTTATATGGCCTCGATTTATATTCTCTTTGTGCACAGTCGCGCATCCCCACAGAAACACAGGCAGTGCGCACCTGTCGTTTGTTTACAAGTTTCCTATTGGCTACAAGGCAGCAGAAGATTTGCGTCTCGTATGTATCCATTGTTGTTGTTCCAAATGTCGTCATTCAAATCACCACAAATCTCGATATATAGCTGATACCCACGGCTCAAAATTTATGCTTTTTCGTAGCTCTGGTTTTGATGGAGGGACATTGCTGTGTGAATGTTTTTTGATGCGGTAAAATGCCCTTTCAGAAATTTTAATTCTCAAAATGATCAGTAACAAAGTTCGTCAAACATCGAGTCTTGTGACGTCAGTATAAGAGGAAATAGTTATATTATGAAGTAGCTTGATCAGCTACAGTTGTGTCTGTCCTTAAAGCACTGCAACAAAATAATAACTACTTGTGGGCTATATTTTTACGCTAAACTTCGATAGATTGAGTTGTTTTATTGAGAACGTAATTAATTTTGCATAAAAACGTTAATTTTGATCTTTTTCAGTTAAAGATCATCCAAATTTATCCATCCCCGGCTAACGCCCAAGACCGATTGTGTTACAATTATAACGATCACGAGACAATAAACACAAGTGTAAAATGCTTTTTTTAGTGTAAAATGCGGCGCAGGGACAGCGTCACAGTCTTTGTGTATAAAATAGTCAGTCAAGGTCTTTTTAAGTCAAATCTTTTCAACGCAAATATATATTTCAACTGTGTTGCTTTTATTAGTGGAGGTGGAGGAATCTCAGGTGCTGAAGGTGGAGGCACTAATTCAGACGAGACTGGACTGGGACTGGTGAGGCTGCAGTCTGCACTATGTATGAGCTTGGATGAGTGATACTTAGTGCATTTTTTCAGTTATGAAATATTATCCCTGCCTTCCATGTGCATGCCATTCATTTGAGATAAGTGCATGATGTTATGCATGCAACTTAGTGCATGCTGCTATGCATGCAACTTAGTGCATGCTGCTATGCATGCAACTTAGTGCATGCTGCTATGCATGCAACTTAGTGCATGCTGCTATGCATGCAACTTAGGGTAGGTAGGAAGTCATAAGGCAGGCATCACACTTCACTTGTGTTTGCAACCAAGGAGAAGTGTTATACCCAGAGGTGCTTCTTTCTAACCAAACAAACAGGGGCGGATCCAAGGGGGGGGTCACATGGGTCATGGCCCCCCCCCTTGAGGCCCGGGGGCCCAAAGACCTGCCAGGGGCACCCCGGCCTATCAGGGGTATCACAGTCCTGACAGGGGCACCACAGGACCGCCAGGGGCACCACAGGCCTAGCAGGGACACCACGCCCACGGGCCTGGTGCCCCTGGGCCCTGACAGGACTATACCGCCCCTGACAAGCCTGAAGTGTCCCCGGCAGGCACGTGGTGCCCCTGACAGGCCTGAGGCGCCCCTGCAAGGCCGGTGGTGCCCCTGGCAGGCCTGTGGTGTCCATGGCAGGCCTGTGGTGCCCTTGCTAGGCCTCTGGTGCCCCTGACAGGCTTGTAATGCCCCTGGAAGGACTGTGGTGCCCCTGGGCCCTGACAAGCCTGAGGTGCCCCTGACAGGCCAGTGGTGCCCTTGCTAGGCCTGTGGTGCCCCTGGCAGGCCTCTGGTGCCCCTGACAGGCTTGCAGTGCCCTTGGAAGGACTGTGGTGTCCCTGGGCCCTGACAAGCCTGAGCCCTGAGATGCCCCTGACAGGCCCGTGGTGCCCTTGTTAGACCTGTGGTGCCCCTGGCAGACCTCTGGTGCCCTTGCTAGGCCGCTGGGGTAAATATTTACTTTAGGACCGGCACACTTTTTCAAAGGGAAATTTTTGACAATCTTCCATTATTTGACATCCTTAATCAAGAAATGATACTTACATGTCACCAAAACTGCAAAAAGTCACACAAAAACTTGATAAAATCCAGCCACCTCACCCCGCGTCACGTAACGTACACCGACGAAATTATACGAATGCGGCGATAAGGATAAACAACGTGTTTGCGCCGCTGCCATTTGCGAAAAGGAAAAATGTGTGCATGTTTAATTCAATGAAAATGACGTCATAATACCAAACAAAATAGAGGAAATGTTGGGAACCGGGGTTTTTGGGTGGGGGAGCAAATGGGGTAGGATAGCAAATTAAACACGGAAAAAAATTATCAGAACATAACCTAACCTTACCTAACCTGACCTACTGATATTTGCCTACCCGGGGATAAGGAAAAAGTTGCTCGCATGAATAGATTGCAAGCAATGGTAGGTCAAATATTTTTAGGTTAAGTGATTGTGCATTAGGCTTCAGGCCTTCGGCCTGAAGCCAAATACACAACCACTTAACCTAAAAATATTTGACCTACCATTGCCTGTAATCTCTCCTAAGGCATTGCCTTCGGCACTGCCGCTGCTTCGCGACGAGAAATTTCATGACGTCACTTTCCTCACAGTTGAATATCATCGTATATGTATTCACTAAACCTTGGAGCGCGGTGCGTGGCCGGTGGAGTACGCAGTCGGTGGGGATCTGCGGCGGTGACGGTAAATATTGTATTGGTGCATTTAAGCTTGTTTGTGCCATGAATGACTATCAGCTATGAAATCAAAAGGTCAAATTATGTCATGTGGTATGCTTCTTACTATCACTTGGGGTTCGTGACGAAAGTAAAGGCTGCCGGTCCTAAAGTAAATAAATACCGGCCGCTGGTACCCCTGCGCCCGGAGAGGACTGGTGCCCCTGAAAAGTCTGAAGTGCCCCTCGGCAGGCCCGTGGTGCCCCTGACAGGCCCAAGGTGCCCCTGCGAGGCCGGTGGTGCCCCTGGCAGACCTCTGGTGCCCCTGGCAGGTCTGTGGTGCCCCTGGCAGGTCTGTGGCGCCCCTGGCAGACCTGTGTTGACTGGTGCCCCTGCTAGGTCGCTGGTGCCCTCACAGACCTGTGGTGCCCCTGGGCCTTGACAAGCCTGAGATGCCTGGCTATGACAGACTCGTGGTGCCCCTGATAGACCAGTGGTGCCCTTGTTAGGCCTGTAGTGCCCCTGGCAGGCCTCTGGTGCCCCTGCTACCCCTGCGCCCGGAGAGGACTATGGTGCCCCTGAAAAGCCTGAAGTGCCTCTCGACAGGCCCGTGGTGCCCCTGGGCCCTGACAGGCCCAAGTTACCCCTGCGAGGTCGGTGGTGCTCCTGGCAGGCCTCTGGTGCCCCTGGCAGGTCTGTGGTGCCCCTGGCAGGCCTGTGTTGACTGGTGCCCCTGCTAGGCCGCTGGTGCCCCTCACAGGCCTGCGGTGCCCCTGGAAGGACTGTGGTGCCCCTGCCCCTAGGGGTGCTCATGGGCCCAACAGGCCCGTTGTGCCCCTGACAGGCCTGTCGTGTATGCTTGCTAGACCTGTGGTGCCCCTGCTTCCTGGCAGGCCTGTGGTGCCCCTGGCGGGCCTGTGGCGCCCCTACAAGGCCGTAGGTGCCCTGACAGGTTTGTGGTGTCCCTGGAAGGACTTTAGTGCCCCTGACAAGCCTGAAGTGTCAAGGACAGACCCTTTAGACGCCAGGGTGAAGTTCGTCGGACTGACAACGATTTGCTTACCTGATAACGTTCCTGGTAAGTACTCACTACTCAGCGTCCACAACATATATACACATAGCACATTCATATATACTTGCTTACAATTGGTAAATGTGGTTGTGGCTAAGAGTTAAGATACTGACTAAAAATAAAAAATAAAAAGAAAAAAAAAACTGAAAATGGGGGCACCACCAAAATGAAGTGGACGAAATCCGTTGAGTTTTTAATTTTGGGTATAGGTAGGGGCACCCCTTCGATTCATGACCCTCCCCTTGGAGTTTTCCTGGATCCGCCCCTGCAAACAAAAACTAACCTAACCTACAACCTACCTACAATGCATAACCTACAGCCTACAACCCATAAACCTTCAACCTTCAAACCTACAGCACCTTTCCTCGGTTGGAAAATCTTCATGTGAATTGTGACGTCTGCTCTACTGATGCTGAGTGGCATGCTACAACTAAGGTCTAAGAGACAGTGTCAAACATCAGGTTAGCCTATTCAGAAATAGATGTTGATGCATGGTGATGTACCTACCTTAGTGCCTACGTGTACGTACAAGTTCAAGGCCCTAACAGGAAACACAATATGAAACCAGGCTGTAAAACATGGTACGTAATTGATTGAGGTGTGCTCATCAGATCAAACTTTGGTTCAGCTTGCACATGGGGGAATCAGGGATATACATTATACAGTCACCTCACTGAGAACAGTGCACACAGAATGTGTGTCTAAATTTGTTGCTGTGGTGCTGAAAGCAAATCATTTATCCCTATGTCACCAATTGACATGCTCTGAACCCTCACAGTGATCTAAACCTTATACACTCAATACAGTGCCAGTCCTGAAATAATAACTCCATTCAGTAGTGCCCTCCATTCTGAGATATTCTTGCCCCCATATCTACCAGTAAAACGCCTTTTGGGCGACCAACGGAGCGAGCGAGAGGATGGGCCTTGCACGTGCAAAATTGCGAGGGGGTACCTCCAACTAACTTGTGCACTGCACCCTACTAACCGGTCTTTAGCGATGTGCCAAATTTCAGCGCAATCGGCCTAGCCGTTCTCGAGATCTGGAAGCGGCACACTGCACGTGCGCACGTGCAAGCGGGGTCCAAACTGACTTTTGCACGGCACCCTACTAACTGGTCCCCAACCGTGTACCAAATTTGAGCGCAATCGGCCCAGCCGTTCTCGAGATCTGGGAGCGCCCCCTGCACGTGCGCACGTGCTGTAGCACCCCAACCTTAACACAGGCAGATGAATTATCTGATGGAGACCTAACTGTGTACCGAGTTTCAATTCAATCGGCCCAACCGTTGTGCCGTTATTTAGGTTGCAATTTTGGGGGTTTTTAAAAAAAAAATTCCAACTTTACCACGCGCCACGTGCGGTGGTTGGCAAGAACGCATGGTGGCCATCACACCACAGAACTTTTACGTCCAAGTGACATTCAGTAAAGAAGACCGCTTGTCAATCGGATGTCCCGTTCCTAAGATATTAGCTTTTGAAGAGCGTCCCCACGGCCGGCCGGCCGGCCGCTCATACTCAGGATTTTCCCTTAATTCAGTATGAGACTCCGCTCGCTTCGCTCGCTCCGTAATTAACTTTGGTTTGGGTTGAGCTTCATTTTTTGATATTCTGGTCAGTGGTCAGGTGGGGTGGACTGTCACTGGACTCCACCCTTGCTTTCATTCCAGAGAGATTGAGGTCGTGCCAAACCCTTTCGCCAGTTATCCCAAAGTTTTTTTTTCTTTCTTTTTTTTAAATTTATTGGCAGAAGATACCACACCATAAATACAACACAAAACAGACAAACATGCAATGCACGCCGCACCCCCGCCCGCGCCGCCCCGCGTCCCACATGCCACGGGGCAGCGCCCCTGTCACCGGCCGGGCCTGCGACGCGCCAGCTCGTTTGAGCGGCGCGCCGCAGGCCCGGCCGGCCAACCGGCCCTGTAACACCGCTAGGGCCGGTCGACGGGTTATCCCGGATGGGTTAGGGGCGGGGGCCGGTCATCTTGTAGTCAGCCTACACCCACTCTGTCCATCACATTAGACCACTTCGCCAGAAATTCGTCCATCCTTCCATTAACTAATGCCACGAACCTCTCCACACGAATGTACCCACTAAACGCTAGGATGAACCCGCGGATGTGTGGGGGCTGAGCTTCCTTTCGGGCACGCCATATAAATCTTTTGGCCAATAACACACAATGCATTATGGCGCTCGTTGGAATATCTTCTCGCCGACGATAAACCCC